CCCCGATCCTGTCCCTCCCTACGCCCGCCCCGGAGGCCCGCCTGCGCCACCGCCGCCCGCGCCGCCCCAATCACGGCAACAGCGGGGACAATCGCCGCCCCGACCCGCCTCAGGAGCAGAACGGAGACGCAGGACACCATCGCCACGGCCCGCCGCCGCCTGCCCCGGCCCCTGCCCGTGAGACTCGGGGCGATGGGGCGGTGCCGCAGCTGGTGCAGGAGATCCAGGACAAGCTCGCCCGCGGCGCGGTGGAGTGCATGATCTGCTACGACATGGTGCGGCGGTCGGCGCCCATCTGGTCCTGCGGCAGCTGCTTCTCCATATTCCACCTCCCCTGCATCCGCAAGTGGGTGCACTCTCCGGCTTCCGCCGCCGACGCGTCCCCGGCAGCAGCAGACCCCGCCTCCACTTCCCCCTCCTGGCGCTGCCCGGGGTGCCAGTTCGTCTACGCCACCCCCGCCCGCGACCTCGCCTACACCTGCTTCTGCGGGCGCCGGAGAGATCCCCCCAACGACCACTTCCTCACGCCCCACTCCTGCGGCGAGCCCTGCTCCAGGCCTCTCGAGAGGGCGGAACCGCCGGGCGCCAAGGGGGAGGACGCTGACGCCACCAGGTGCCCGCATGTCTGCGTCCTTCAGTGCCACCCGGGCCCGTGCCCGCCCTGCAAAGCATTCGCTCCGGATCGGCCCTGCCCCTGCGGGAAGCAGATCATCGTGCGGCGGTGTGCGGACCGGAGCACGCCTGTCACCTGCGGCCGCCCTTGCGAACAGATGCTGACCTGCAGAAGGCATCGCTGCGACAAGGTTTGCCACACTGGTTCTTGCGGGGATTGTGCCGTTCTCATCTCTGCGCGGTGCTTCTGCGGCAAGAAGAACGAGGCATTGCTATGTGGAGACATGGTGGTAAAGGGGAATCTATCTGAGGACGGCCTGTTTTCTTGCAGTGAGGTGTGTGGCCGCACACTTGCCTGTGGCAATCATGCCTGCAAGGATATGTGCCACCCAGGGTCTTGTGGGGAGTGCGAGCTTATGCCGGGGAAGGTCAGTACATGCCATTGCAGCAAGACAAGGCTGCAGGAGAGGAGGGAAACCTGCTTGGACGCAATCCCCACCTGCGACAAGATATGCGATAAGAAGCTGCCATGTGGAGTGCACAGGTGCAAGGTCAACTGCCATGATGGAGAATGCCCGCCTTGCTTGGTGCGCGTTGAGCAGAAGTGCCGTTGTGGCTCATCAGGTCAGATGGTGGAGTGCTATAAGGTCTCAATGGAAGAGTTCCGCTGCAACAAGCCTTGTGGCCGCAAGAAGAACTGTGGGAGGCATCGGTGCAGTGAGCTCTGTTGTCCACTGTCCAGAAAATTTGCACAGCTTGAAGGTGGCGACTGGGATCCCCATCTCTGCCAGATATCATGTGGCAAGAAGCTCCGATGTGGGCAGCATTCATGCCAGCTACTCTGCCACAGTGGTCATTGCCTGCCCTGCTTGGAGACTATATTCACTGATCTCACTTGTGCCTGTGGCAGAACTTCTCTCCCACCACCTCTGCCTTGTGGAACACCAACACCATCTTGTTCGCATCAGTGCTCAGTTCCCCAGCCTTGCGGACATCCAGCCTCGCATTCATGCCATTTTGGGGACTGCCCGCCTTGTGTGGTGCCAGTAATGAGAGAATGCATCGGGGGACATGTGATGCTGAGGAACATCCCTTGCGGATCGAAGGATATCAGGTGCAACCAACCATGTGGGAAGAATCGCCAATGTGGAGTCCATGCTTGCAACAGGCCCTGTCATCCTCCCCCCTGTGATCAGCCACCTGCAAATGGAGATGCTAGCTCAAGCTCTGGTGGCAAAGCTTCTTGTGGACAGGTATGTGGTGCTGCAAGGAGAGAATGCAAGCATAGATGCACTGCCCCATGCCACCCATCGTCCCAATGCCCAGATTTGAGATGTGAATTCGCTGTGACTATTACCTGTTCTTGCGGACGAATCACTGCAACTGTTCCCTGCGGTGGTGGTGGAGCCTCCATGGGTGATAATATGTTTGAAGTCTCCATCATCCAGAAGCTGCCAATGCCTCTCCAGCCAGTGGAATCAAATGGGAGAAGGGTGCCTCTTGGGCAGAGGAAGCTTTCTTGTGATGAGGAGTGTGCAAAGATGGAGAAGAAGAGGGTCCTTGCTGAAGCATTTGACATCACTCCACCCAATTTGGATGCATTGCATTTTGGTGAGAATTCAAGTTCATCGGATTTGGTTGCTGACTTGTTCCGGCGTGAGCCGAAGTGGGTGTTGGCCATAGAAGAGAGGTGCAAGTTCCTTGTACTTGGGAAGGTGAGAGGCAGTTCTTCAAGCAGTCTGAAACTGCATGTCTTTTGTCACATGTTGAAAGACAAGAGAGATGCTATCAGTCTAATTGCAAACCGATGGAAGCTTTCTGTTCAGGTGGCTGGTTGGGAGCCTAAGCATTTTGTTATCATGCATGTCACACCCAAGTCGAAACTGCCTGCTCGCATCCTGGGGTCCAAACCAGGTGCACCTGTTACAGCTGCCCATCCTTACTTTGATCCACTGGTTGACATGGATCCGAGGGTGGTTGTCGCGATGCTGGACCTGCCACGGGATGCTGATGTCAACGCTCTAGTCCTAAGGTTTGGTGGGGAATGTGAATTGATCTGGCTGAATGACAAGAATGCCATAGCTGTCTTCAATGATCCAACTAGAGCAGCAACAGCGCTGAGGCGGCTGGATTATGGGTCTGCTTACCAGGGTGCTGCGATGTTTATGCCAAGCAGTGCTCAGGCATCTTCTTCAGGCAATGTTTGGATTGGAGGGCAGAAGGATGGAGGGCTCGCTGCTAGGAGCAATCCTTGGAAGAAGCCTGCTTCTGCTGAACCTGACATGTCCTCTGGAGACAGGACTGGTGTTGCTGGGCATGCCCCAGCACCAGGATGGAGAGGCGCCAACACTACCTCTCGAGTCATGGGGACTCCAAACCGATGGAATGTTCTGGAATCAGATGCTGCTGCAAGCTCTGTTCCAGGCAACGAGTGGAGGAGGGCTGCTCCACGCACCGATGCTTCATACAGCGCAATACCAAACGCTGGGAATGCTGGGCCATCAGTGACCAAGCTGCAGCCAGATGTGGACGTGGACGACTGGGAAGAAGCTTGTGAATGAGGTGGCATCGGGAAGTTCAGTCCAGATGTTTTTGGTTCTTCTGGGATCTTGTAGTGGTACCATGTTGGTACCGAGTCTTTATGTTCTAGCACACATTTTAAAGTAGTTTGGTGATTGCCTGGTAGACTGTTAAGTCAGAAGTGTTGATTTTTTTACGCAGGCAAATGAATCTCTGTAAGGCTGCTGCTTATTTTTGCATGCCTTTTGTTGAATTGAGAAGAAATTACTATGCCACAAGGTTTCTATCTTCTATTGGTTATTATAGGTTAAAAAAACGTGGGATGCAATTTTTAGTTTTCCTCTAGCGCCACTTCCCAAACCTTCTTGTTTCTTCCCCGCAAGCGCAAACCCTAGGAGACGAGAGGAGAGTAGCTCATCTAGGGTTTCGTTGTGGATTCTATTATAAACTACCACATGTAAACGAAAAAAACTACAAATAATCTAGGTGGAATGATCTCAGATTCATTCGAACAAACAAAGATACAGTTATTATAACCATTATTGTTAGTCCCTGCTTTTGTTTGCGGTTCAAATTCTCCTGCAGAACGAATGAGTTATGTTTGTTAAATTCTGATTAATCTGACCCAAGATTGATTTCACGGTTTTTTTGTAATAATAAAGGATTTCAGATCTTAATGCCGATCTTCTCGCGGTTTCCCTTGCTGCTGGGTAACTCAGTTGGAATTTGAATTCGGTAGCGGTATGATGCCTTGGGGGTGTTTCTCGTCTGTTTGAAAGTTGGAATAAGCAATTCTGGTGTCTTAGGATGATTGACTGACGAGTTTGTGTGCTGTTTCCATTTTTATTTTGCCTATCCAGACACTCTAATTTTCAGTTTACTTCTCAGTTGAACCGCGTCATTACCTTCTTAAAAAAAGCAGTTTTATCCTTTTCTTATGTTATGTTAACTTTGTTTTGGAGAAACAGAACGAAGTGCATATGTGGCCTGGAACCAAACTGCTCTAACTGAAGGTGGAGAGGTAACTTATACAGACAAAAAAGTTACAGTTGGAATTAGTAATTTCTTCAGGATTAGTACTTGGGAGGTGGAGACGCCACAAGTTTTCAGTCATACAAAGGAGGAGGGGTGAATAAAGCGAAAAATCTGGTTGTGAGATTGTTGACGTGTCTTCCTGGGGCATGTGAGCTCTCAGCCACTTTGGTTGTTTGATGTCTATGTGATGCTCGTGACAGACTTAATTGGTTCCCTCTGTTGGTTGGCATTTATTTGACTAAATCACTGCACATTTGTCCCTTCAGTTTCTTTTCCTTTTACCTTTCCCCATTTCTTTTGAACTGCTGATCTTGAGCGTACGTGCTGAAGTGGATTCTCCAAGAGGTGCCACCGTGTATGCCCTTTCATCCATCCTTGGATTTGTTGCTGCTCCCGTTTCTTTTTTTCTTGAACAAGCTGCTTCCGTTTCTTGTTAGTGCCATGCCTTTGTTATGGCTGCTTCTCCATTCTTCACTGGCACTTTGATTTCGTCTTCGTTCAGAAAAAAAAAACCCTTTGATTCCATGTGCTAGGGTGTTCTATGGGTAATTGGGTATGCCAGATTGAAGTTCTTTCATTGTGCTAATATTTCAATGATTGATAGCCTTCATTTTATTTTGTTCTACTGAAAGGCACACAATTATTTTTGAATCACCTATTCAATGCTTGAACCTAAACGCATGCACATGTGTTACCTTAAACCTTCTCTTTTTTATTAACTGATTCAGTTTTCAGCAGAGCAACTATTCATCTTCTGGTCCACGACTTGATGCTGGGTCATATGTTGTTTCTTTCCAAAAATTCTTACAGAAAAATCTGCAAACTTGCAGGAGATGGGGTGCTTCAATTCTAAGCCAAATGATGCTGGTGCAATCAGAAGAAGACCTGGGAACATAGGTGAGGTTGCTGTGTTTATACCTGGATTGCGGGTTCCTGAGAGTTTGGAGCTATCTCAGCCGCTAGGCGATGGCCACCTGAGGAGGCTGACTGAACGTTTGGCTGCGTTGAGGAGCCGAATAGTGGTCATGGCTGCTCATGAGGCATTGTCGGTGACTAGGCCCAGGAAGCGCACCTTCACACAGCATGGTTTGTCCATAGTTTGCATGATGGCTTCTTACTAATGTGAGCCAGAGAAAAGAGAAATACTTAACTCTCCGAGTATGTTGCCCTGCAGGAGGATCTACATCAGCTGATCTTCTGCAGGCTTTGGAAGATTACTTGCCAGTTCTTCTTGGACTGGTAAAAGAGGGTAAGTATTGTATACTTTTCTCTTCCATCTTGCTCTGAATCAGACCAAACAAATCTGTGCCGATTGTTGTTGCCTTCATTTTGGTTCAATGCTTAACAGGGAGCAACTTGGAAGATAAGATACAGTTTTCCTGGATGAACCAAGAGGATGATGCAGAGGTCTGCTTACCCTGACCCTGTCAGTGTATGTTTTACGGTTCTATTGAAGAGTACTGATTAGCTGACTTCTGCTGGTAGGAGACGGCATTGCCCAGTTCTTGGTATGAGGTGTTGTCAGTTTTGCACATGATGGCTATGCTGCGTTTATCTCAAGCAAATTCCCTGCTTCTTCCAAAGACATCACTTGAGGGTTACCATGCTAAAGTATCTGAAGGTCTGCAATACACAATACATTCATCGCTGCTGCAGAAATATATAATTATCTTTTTAATGCTACAGAGGTGCATTTACAGATTTCAGCAACTGTAGTTATTGTCAATTGCATTATGGTAATTAAACTCTGTGATTCCATCCACTTTTCAGATAACAAACGTGCTTCCATTGAAATATTTCTCAAGGCATCTGGGTTCTTGGAGTGTGCTATCCAACATGTTCTTCCTAGGATATCCCCAGAAAATAGGTGGGTGGAGTTCCTTACCACTTGCAGAAGGCTCATGATTTTGTAGTTAGTGCAGGAGTTATTGTTCTTAACTGCCATTTCGTGTAGGAAAGGTCTTCCTGTAGACTTATCTGAAGGAGTCCTGAAAGCGATCTGCATGCAAGCTCTGGGTCAAGTATGTGTTCCCCTCTGTCTGTTTGCCATCCTTTTCTTCTCAGTTCATCTTTCTTGACAATAGCTGCTTGAAATCACACGATTCATGTGACGATCAGCTCAACTGTCCACTTCATAGTTCATCATGCCATTCATTCATGCCATGCATAACCTCACATAGATGTCAGTTTTATGGCTCCTTTTACCTGTTTTACCATCTGAAAACACAAGCTAACCAATTATGTCTACATAAAAAAAAAATGTCATGTTGCCAGGCAATTGATGTCCAACTTGGGTTGGCAATTGACAGTCCAAAGGCTACCCTAGCAGTGAAAAGGAGGTTAGCATGTGAGATGGTCAAGTGCTGGCAACAGGTACGATTGATCGTTTCATCGTTTTTGTTTTCCTGTGTTTGATGTTCCGAACATATCAGAATTGCTCAGATGTTCGCACTTGCAGTTGGCTCAGTTCAGTTCTGTATACTAATACTACTAATACTGACAGTAACAAGGATTTGCATGGCGTTTGAAACATCTTAGTGATGTTCTGCCCTCGCTGGTTCTGCATACTGATACTATCGGCAATAAAGATATGCATGGCAAAATGGGATGTGATATTTAGTGTCACCCGGAGGCAATGCTCTGAATTTACGCAAATTCTAAGTTGAACCTCCCTTGTAACGCTGTTTTAGTCTAAAACTGTTGTGCTCCTAAAGTTCATCACGCCAATCTATGTAATACAATGAAGATTCTCATGTTCACCTAGAGCCCTGAAACTAATTAGCAGCAGAACAAGAGTTTCAAACAGTTATCCACTTCTTCTGCCTTCCTAATATTGTCATGTAGTTTGAGAAATTAGGAATCAATCAATATATCTGTTTGTATCCTTAGAATCATCCTGAATTTATTCGCAGGCACATGAAAGTATGGCGGATTTACCTCTGATTGATAGCTGGGGCGAGAAGCACAGGCTCTTTGTGACGTGGAAGTATATTGAAGCAAAAGTACGTCGGTCTTTTCGCATTTCTTAAACATCATACTTTTTGTAATTTCTCATCCCAAGTATGTTTCTTATAAACTTTTTTTTTTGTATGTAAGCAAAGCCTGTATCTGGCCTTTACTGTTTGGTGTAGAGTGTTAATCATACACCCAAAAAAAATTAACCATATAAGGTGGTAGAACTAAAAATGCTTTGCAGTTAGCGCCTTCAGTTTCAGTAAGCATGTGTAAAAACGAGCCAGACAGCAAAAGGAGATAACTTTTGTATATCTCAACTAAAATGGTACAGGCTGCAGCATACTATTATCATGGTCTTATCCTTGACGAAGGCAACACGGAGAAATCCCACAGGATGGCCGTGGCAGCATTGCAATCTGCAGAGGAGTTTCTCAAGGAGAGCAAAGATGCGGCGGAAGCCTTCCACGCAGCACCTCCTGTTTCAAGGCAATGGCAATGCATCCATATCCCTGTATTAGTTACCTCTGCTTGTCTTTCGTCTTTGGTTGATTGAGCTGTGGCGTTCTAAAATAAAAACTGTTGGTTGCGCAGAAGCCCGCCTGCTTGTGGATCGATGAAGTATCTCCATGAGAAGATCCAGAAGGACTCGTCCTGCAAAGTTCGCATCAACAAGGACCTCTACAGCAACGACAGGTGCTTGCTGTTACACTGATTTTGCTCCCAGACAGTTTACTTGCAATGTTGGTCTGCCTACAGGGCTGAACCTGTGTCGTGTGTTGTAGCAGCATCCGTGAGGCCGTGCCGGCGCTGCCAGATTTCGCGGTGGCTCTGAAGCCCGAGGAGTACCGGCTCCCTGCTGTGACGGTAGGCGCGTCAAATGACTAGAGCCAGGAGGCATCAGGAGAACTGAACATGTTCCCATTCCAAGCTGCTCTGCTCTGCAACGACGTTGAATCTGAAACACTTGTCCCTGCAGAGCTGCTGTGATGTGTACGTGGTGTAACAAACATGGCCGCCGTGCCTGTAGTGTAGGACTCTAGGAGTATGTGATTAATTACCATTTACTACGCAAGGAAAGAACAGTCTTCAAGTTAAAATAGAAAGGTTACAAAAGTGTACTACTCCATAAATAGAAAAAAGTCACATATTATGAAAATATTTTCCATAATGAATCATTAGCATTAACCATGTGTTATGAACCTATGTAAATATTCATACATTGGTAGGCTTAATTTAAAAAAGAATGTTTGAATGGCTAAGGATGGCGGATGGTTCCTGGCGGTGTTCGCTTCTGCAAATGGTGGAGCCTGCTGAGTTGCTGGCACAATATTTTCCTGAGATCGCTTCTACTAGAGCCATTTTGGATCCATTAGCAGCTAAAACATGCTAATTTATTAGCGGAAGAGCTGCTAACTATTAGTTCCTTTAGCAGGTTTGGAGTTGCTAATAGGTGCTAATAGTTCATATACACCTTTAACTCACTATCCAACCACCTATTAGCAGGTGGATCTAAACAGTCTTCTGCTAAAAAATTAGCTAGCTAAAATTTAGCAACTATTAGCTATTATAGCTAACTAATTTTTAGTGCCGGTGCAAACAGACCCTAAAGGTGGAGGCTGCTGTGCTCTTGGCACAGTATTTTCCTGAGATCACTTTACCCGCAGGTGCAGCGGTGCAGCCACAGTTGATAACTATAGCACAACCGAATGCCTCCCCTTTTTTTAAAAAAAAATGTAGTAGGAGCTTTGCATTACAATAAAAGGAAGAAATAAGAATAATAAAAAAGGTTGGATCCTTAGGTCTTCCACTGCATAGTTTTATGGTGATGCTTCAAATGGAGGGAGAGAGTATAAGCGCTACTTTTCACACTGCAACCACCGGTGCCAAAAATAGGAATTTGAGGAACCGATGCCTGTTCTGCGACGACAAATATTTTATTCACTATAAGTTGCTTTTCGCCTGTGTGGTCTGCTAAAATGAAAAGAAAGCTATGCGCTGTAATCTGAAACTCAACAAAGCATCACTACGAGTTGGTGGGCGTAAACAGTATCAGGCACCGCTCACGTTGTGGACGGCGTTAGGGCCCCCAATAAACACACGGTTTTAGAGCCTAGGTCCCAAGCGAAAGCGGTGAATGACCCCAAGGTACTAGCTTTTAATAAGTTATTCGCTTGAGAAAAGGTAATTAGAGAAACAACAATAACAACATAGTTTATTTGAAGGGAAAAAATAAACTTTTTCCATGGTCACATATTCACAATATGCTCCTGAATTTATGAAATATATTTTTTCCACTCATCTTTTAAAATCAATATTACATGTTTTGAATGTTTGTGTAGCATTGAATATATGGATGTGTCGGAATTCGCAATGACGTCTCCGTGGTGCTTACTCCCTTTTTCCACAAAAAAGAAGTGCAATTCTCACTTTTTAAAAGTCAAATAATTTAAACTTGACTAAAGTTAGATAAAAAAGGACTAACATTCATGATACAAAATAAAACAATTAGACTAATTCTGAAATATGTTTTTGTAGTAGATTTTATTAGAGATACAAATGATAATAATATTTATTACAAATCTGATCAAAATTAAACTAGTTTGACTGACATAAATGATAAATCCTATAGTTACATTTTTTTTCTATAGACGGAAGAGTACATCTCAACTTTATTTTTTTTTCTATTGCAAGAGCTATCCATAGTCGTCGGCTGACTGGTCAGCATTCCCTCCTTATTTGGCCTGGCGACGCAGCCCAGCGGCCCACACATGACACGACATCCGAGGCGAGCCGTGTATATTGACTTTTAGTCAACACCTTGCTCCTCTCCCGGTCTCCCCGCTTCAGTTGGAGTTGGAGAGACGCCGGCGCGGCGCCAGAGAAGAACTTGGCAGATGGATTCCCTGCGCAACATGGTGGAGCCGATTCGGACGATGCAGATCCGCCCCGTGCTCGCCCAAATCATCACCCTAGGTGAGCCTGAGGACTAGGCATACTCTACTCACTCCGCTGCGCTCTAATCTCCCCCGCTCTGTTCCCATAGGAATCGATTTCCGCGTGATAGATGCGGTTTCCTTTCTGTTAGCACTTTTTTTTTCTTTTGGATGTTTCGCGCATCCTCTGGTGGTTATTGAGGGCCTATTGCTCACAATTTCCACGCAAAAAGATGACATGAAAGATTTCTTCTTTTCCTAGAGGAAGAACAGGCGGCAGCGCATAGTTTATTTACAGGCGATGGAGTCTTGATTTGCTATAGGAAGTAAAGCTCTACTGGTACATTTCAGTGATTGCCATCGTGTTTCTATCACTGTACAGTGCATACATTGCAGACCCTCTTAGTAGTGTAGACAAGTGAATAGTCATGGCTTCAGTTCTTGCCTGTAATAATTTTACTGGGACTCTCAAATACCCCCTATTTTGGGCTTTGCAGGGATGATCCTCACTTCGGCATTGATCATGTGGAAAGGATTGATTGTCGTAACAGGGAGCGAGTCGCCGGTTGTGGTGGTTCTATCTGAAAGCATGGAGCCTGGGTTTCGAAGGGTTCATTCCTCCTTCCCACAATACAATAATCAGCATTCCTTTGCCTTGTTTTACATTTTACATCTTACAGAATCCCCATGGATGCTGGTGATTTTTATGTCCAATTGTGTCTGTTATTTTTTCTCTCTCTTTTGGTGCTATGGCATGCCACAGCATAGGGAAGAGTGTGACTAATAACCTGAACTTCAGCAACTTATGCACAATACAAAAATTTGGTTGTTTGTTTTTCAGCAATATACTAGTTTCATCAGAAACTTATAAAATTTCCATTTCCATATTTGTGCCATTTGCTGATGGACTTAATTCTAGGACAACACATTATATTTGGGCATTTTTTACTCCATAGCTCTTACACACTACTAAGTTCCAAGTGCTGTCATCTGTCTTGCTGCTGTCCCTGAATGACCAGTAGTTAACTGTTTTGTAGGGCGATATCCTATTTTTACACATGAATAAGGAACCTATCGGCACAAGAGAAATAATTGTTTTCAATGTTGAGGTAAGTCCTACCGAATTCCTTTTTGCTTCTTGCCGTTGTCCATAGACTAGTAGTATCTGAAATTCTGAAGCTTGATGGAATCATTTTTATTTTTATATATTTAATTGTGATGTGTGCTTGTACATGATCTGCCAGTAACCAATTTACCACTTTATCTGTTATATTGCAGGGCCGTGATATTCCAATTGTCCATCGTGTGATCAAGGTAGTAAGTTATTTAATTCAACCCTTCTGTAGATTATGTTTATATACTATACTTGGATTGTGGCTTGAGGTTGCTTGTGTCCCTTCATAGGTTCATGAACGCCATGATACAACCGAATTTGATATTCTCACAAAAGGTAGCCACATTCTTTTCAGCTGCTTTATTTTGCTCCATGAGTATTATCAAGAACAGAAATATGGTGTTTGTATTTGATAGATTAGACTAAAGAGTAAAGACACGCTATACTGCGAATTGCAGTGTTTTACTACTGCTAGTGCACTGATAAGTTGTGTCTCATCAGGTGACAATAACCGTGAGGATGACCGAATGGGAATGCTGTGTGCAAATGGGCAGCTTTGGCTTCAGCGACAGCACATTATTGGACGGGCTGTTGGGTGAGTTTTATCTTTGTCTCGACTCTTGAGGGAATACGTTACATTCATCGTCATGACTAATGCTTAATGATTGTTTGTTCCATCTGACTGCTGTTCCCTGTTATCTAATGTTAACACTTGAGCAGCTATCTGCCTTATGCTGGGTGGCTTACAATCGCCATGACGGAGAAACCAGTCCTCAAGGTATGAGCATTCTGGTTTACTGGGCACATAGTGGTTAAACAAATGGAGTGTTGTAGTAAGAAAATTCCAATTATCGAGATATGTTGCTAAATTACAAAAAAGGAAATGTAACTCTACTTTTATTGTTCGTCTTTTGTCCATCATAGCATTACATTGCTTATGAGGTACGCTTCTATCAGAGTGCCAATGGCCCTGTTTGGTACAGCTTATTTGGGAAGCGCTTTCCAGATAAGCTACACAAATAGAGTAAAAGCGACGGTCAAAATAAGCTGGTCTGATCTAGCTTCTGCTTTTTAGTACAAATGGGAGCTGTGGGAATAAGCGTGGCCAGAATAAGCCGCTGAAAAACGTAGTGTTTGGTTGTTGATTTCAACTTATTTTGTCCATAAGCAGCTTATAAGCTGTACCAAACAGGCCCAAAGCGTCTCGAGGCAAAATAGCAAGCTCATCAGAGAAGTGCTTTTGTGTTGGACCGTGAGTTTGTTAGAAGTAATAGGGGTCTGTTGTACTGGTATACGTTTTTGGTTGACTGTTGTCGTTTGTGGGTGCAGTATCTGCTAGTTGGTGCACTGGGGCTGCTGGTGGTAGCATCCAAGGAGTGAAGCTGAAGATAGGAGGATTGATTGAGCAGTAAGAAGAGTATGCGCCTATGCGGAGAGAAGAAATGCTGTATAGCACCGGCACAGGAGCTGTAGTCTGTTGTACTCTGTAGAGCAACACCGCTACCATTACGTTTAACAAAACTGAACTAAGAGAACAATGGGAACCAAAAAGAAAAACTGTATTCCATATATATATATGAAGCTATATACAATGTCGGAGTATTAATCTCTCATATCAGGAAGCTATATACATTGTTATTGTATACAAGTATGATCAACGAGCTAGATTTTTCTGGTGTTGTGGGAATTTTCTTGGATCTCTTATTAAAATGAAAATCGCCCTATTAAAATGACAATACACATCAACAGCTTTCCCGCCAGAGCTGCCACCCATGGCAGCATCCCGCGCCGCCGTCGACCTCTCCAAAGAGCTCTGCGCCGCCGTCATCAAATCCACCTTCCGGCCCAACCTCCACCTCGCGCTCCACGCCGCCGTGCCGTCCCTTCTCACCGCCGTCCTCCACCGCCTCTCCCCGCTCCCCTCCGCCGCGCTCGCCTTCTTCCGCGCGCTGCCGCCGCCGCACCCGCTGGACGCCTCGCTCGCCCTCCTCCGCCTCCTGGCGCCGCACCCGCGCCACCACCCCGCCGCGCGGGCCCTCCTCCGGGACCTCTCCCTCCGCCACCCGCTCTCCTCCCCGCTCGTCCTCCCCTCCCTCCTCGCCGCCGCCGCCGACCCCCGCGTTCCCAGCTGGCTCGTCGTCGTCCTCGCCCAGTCCGCGCGCGCCCACGACGCCGTACGGGTGTTCGACCAGATGCGCGCGCGCGGCCTCGCCCCCGACGCCCACGCCTGCACCGCGCTCCTCACCGCGCTCGCCAGGGCCCGGATGACGGCCACCGCGCGCAGGGTGTTCGACGAAATGTCCAGGGCCGGGCTCGCCGTCAGCACGCACGTCTACAACGCCATGCTGCACGTGTGCCTCAAGGCCGGGGACGCCGCGCGCGCCGAGGCGCTCGTCACCAGGATGGACGCGGCTGGCGTGCCCTTGGACCGATTCTCCTATAACACCGTCATAGCGCTCTACTGCAGGAAGGGGATGAGGTACGAGGCCATGTGCGTGCGGGACCGCATGGACAAGGAGGGGATACGGGCGGACACCGTCACATGGAACTCCTTGATCCATGGCTTGTGCAAGGATGGCAGGGTGAAGGAGGCGGCTCAGCTCTTTGCAGAGATGGTAGCGGCACAGGCAACACCGGACAATGTGACCTACACCACACTGATTGATGGGTACTGTCGTGCGGGCAATATTGAGGAGGCGGTCAAGCTCCGAAGCGAGATGGAGGCGACGGGCATGCTCCCAGGTGTCGCGACTTACAATGCCATTCTCAGGAAGCTCTGTGAGGATGGCAAGATGAAGGAAGTTAATCAGTTGCTTAACGAGATGGACGAGAGGAAGGTGCAGGCTGATCATGTGACCTGCAACACGCTGATCAACGCGTACTGCAAGAGAGGGGACATGACCTCGGCATGCAAGGTCAAGAAAAAGATGATGGAGTCTGGGCTGCAGCTCAATCAGTTCACTTACAAGGCTCTCATCCATGGATTCTGCAAGGCCAAGGAGCTCGATGAAGCCAAGGAAGCCTTCTTTCAGATGGTCGATGCAGGTGCTTTATTTGCATCTTATCTTATGGTTCCAGTTAGTACCACTAGCTAACTATAAGGACTGCATTTGGCAGTTTAAATGGCACTAAGATCATTATGTTGCGATCATAGGCAACCAGTTTGCAATCTCACTGATTATCTTTCGATCATATCATAAACTGTATCTTCTGATGATGTGGTTGCTTTTGTTGTATGCAGGGTTTTCACCCAATTATAGTGTATTTTCATGGCTTGTCGATGGTTTCTGCAAGAAGAACAATGCAGATGCAGTGCTAGTCATCCCCTATGAACTTATGAAAAGAGGTCTTCCACCAGATAAAGCAGTATATAGATCTCTGATTCGAAGGCTTTGCAGAAAAGGGATGGTTGATCAGGCACAAAAAGTATTCGACCAGATGCAAGGCAAAGGCTTAGTTGGTGACAGCCTTGTATACACCACACTTGCATACACGTATCTGACAGAAGGAAAGCCAGTTGCCGCTTCGAATACCTTGGATGATATGGCAAAGAATCAATTGTACATAACGCCCCAGATTTACAACTGCCTGTGTACCTCTTATGCTGATGAGAAGGAAACCCTCAATATGCTGTGGGTTCGTGCTATTGAGAGAGGCCTAATCAGGAAGAGTGTGTACAAACTGATGCACCAAGCAAGGCTGGAATCAACGAAGCTTGCAGTTGAGACTGGGGGATGTGCTCCTGTTTCAAGGCCAGACTATCTAGAGGCTACACTTGGTACTTGAATACAACTGGATCCAGGACATTCAGGGTGCAACTTTGATGCTGTTGTTCCATGTGTCACACCCAGAATGAATGAAAATCTGATGAAGGAATTCACATGGGAGGAGATGAATCGGCTTTGGATAGTATTGGGGACCCCAAGGCCCCGGGGCCAGATGGTATTTGGATAGTATTGGGGACCTCAAGGCCCCCAGGGCCCCGGGGCCAGATATCTGTCACCAAGTCCATGTTTCCCACTCCCCTGTTATCTGGATAGTATTGGGGAGTGGGACAAAGGACTTGGTGACAGAGACAGATATCTTCTGGGAAGAAGATGCAGCCACCATTTTAGCTCTGCCGGTACATGAGGTATGGATGATATCATGGTTTGGCACTATGATGCAAAAGGTGGGTTTTCAGTGAAATCTGCCTACAAAGTGCACTGCGATGATAGCCTGAGGACGAGTCGGTGAGAGGCTGCATCTAATAGCTCCAATGAAATCAGCACTGACCATATGTGGGGGAAAATATGGAAGTTAAATTGTCCAAACAGAATTAAGCACTTCCTATGGAGAATGGCTCATAATTCTTTGGCCTTATGCTGTAACCTCAAGAGAAGGGGAATGGATGTGGATACATGCTATTTTGTGTGCAGAAGGCTAGATGAAGATGGAGGCCATCTCTTTTTGAAGTGCAAGTATGTAAAACAGGTATGGTGTGAGATGAACTTAAATGAGACCAGGGAGCGTTTGGCTTCATATGGGTCAGCAAAGGAAGTAGCTGAACATATACTAAGACTTGACAGTGAACATCAATCAAATGTCTTGTGTCTCCTGAATAATTGGTGGTGTGAAAGAAATAGAATCAGAGAAGGGGAAAGGAAAAGAGAAGGATGGGAAGTTGCTGCCATAACATCTAGACAAGCTGATGAAATCAGGAACTTGCAACACAAAGAACACATGGAACATCTGGGGGCGGAGGAAGCAGAAGTGGCAGCGCCAGTACCAGGAACTCTAAAGATTAATGTAGATGGAGGTTTTGATCGAAGATGCAGCAAGGGAAGCTGGGGTTATGTTATTTGCGATGAGGAAGGCAGTGTGATTCAAACGGGTGCAGGGAGCCTGGAGCAAATCTTTGATCCGATGCACGCAGAAGTGAGTGGCTGTATCAAAGGTGTAAGAGCTGCTGTACAATTGGGAATTGCACGTATTTGTCTGGAGACTGACGCCTTGCAGGTGAAATTGACTACCGCCTGGCCATTTTGGGAGGCCTCATCTATTACACGATGGCTTTGCTGATGCTGGTGTAGTAGCTCATATTCCAAGAGAATGTAATCATCAATCAATTAGCTCATGCTCTAGCAGTACTAGGGAATAGCTGCCCTTTTGATTCAGACTTTGTAATGGCAGTGGCAGGTGTGCCTGCGTGTGCATCGGTTGCGGTGTCCAGCGATTTAGAGTTCGGCTTGCTGAATTTTGGTTGAAACTGGTTGAAAAATACTGTTCTGGCTGAATTGTTGTGAGAGAAAAACACTGTTTCAGCTGAAAAAGAAAGCCGAACAAGCCGGCTTCTGGGTAAGCCGAACAGGGGTATTTAATGGAATCACTCCCGTTCCTCTCAAAAAAAAATTATCTTCAGTTGCGTTGTGAACTGTTCCTCCATGTTTTGCTAATTGTGCTTGATTGGCAGAAATCTTCAGTTGAAAAGAAGCCCCAGTTTTTTTTTTTTTTTTTTTTTTTTTTGAGAATCAAAACTTCAAAAGAAGCCCCCGCTAAGAGCCTAGACCCGACCTGTGCTGTGTGACCTGTCCAATTGTATGTGTTTTGGCCCAAGACTACTGGGCTGGGCAGGCCCCACTGCCAGGCCCAAGGCCTATGAGGAAGAAGATAAGCTCCTCTGTCGCATGTTTTGCTTTTCTTCGTCTCGTCCTTCTTCTCGAGGGAACGACACTCTCATCAAGCTGTGAAATTTCACGGCGATGTCACGGCTACTCCCGCCTGCTAAAACCCTCCTGCTCTCTCCCTTCCCGGCGTTCTCGCCGCCACCGCCTCCTCATCCTTTTCCTCTTCCTCGCATCCACGTCCGTACATCCGCGGGGAGAGGCGCTGCGGCGGAGAACGCGGCAGCGTCCGGGACGACGGCGAGGGAGCGGCGGCTGGTCAAGGTGCGGGAGGAGCGCCGCCGCCGCGAGTACGACCGGGAGCACACCTACCCCGGATGGGCCAAGTACGCAGCTTGTCCTCCTTGTCCCCTCTCTCTCTCTCACACACACACACTCACTATTTACTGGCTGGAATCTGGATGTCTTCGTTTGTTCAGTTTCTTGTTTGTTTCATCTTGGCCTTCCCATCCTGTCGAAATCCAGATGGCGGCCTGCTGTTTCTTAATGCTGTGGTATGGCAATGCAGGGTTCTGGAGAACGCCTGCAGAGATGATGAGGAGCTCCGCGCCATTCTCGGTGATAGCATCGGCAACCCGGAGCTCATGAAGCAAAGGGTGAGCGCTGCTGCTACGTTCACTGCTCTTTTGCTCTTCCCCATTTCGCTGTTTTACTGAGAGGATTTGTTGCTACCCTGATAGACAGTACTTATGCCACGCCTTGTGTACGTGATTCACAGATCCAAGAAAGGGTGCGCAAGAAAGGCAGGGCTCAATTCAACAAGTCCAAGACAGGCTCCATTGTTACTTTTAAAGTCAGCTTCCGAGAGTGAGATTCTCTCACCCGCTGTAGTCACGTTTGTATTTCTCTGTTTGCCATGTCAAAGGATCAGAAGTGGAGTGTGCTAATAGTTCCTACAGCACACATGATACTGTGATAGTTTCAACGTAATTGGACTACCTGAGCTGCTAAACACATATGTTTCTAATGAAATGGCTCCATGTTTCTGCAAAAAGATATATTTGGTATTTGCACTCCTTTGATCTCATATTTTTTTGATCCTGTATAATTTTAACGGCCTAAGATAAATAGATGATCATCTCCTCAATTTACATCATCAAACAACTTGTGTTTACTGCTAAAACTTTTGTTATAATCGGTTTTCTTCCTCATTGAAAGATTATAAATCTGAAATGGGCTACTCTAGCATATGAAGATGAATCAACACTGAATAACTAGGTGTCTGGGTTAATGGCACTCACATTTCACAGGCAGTAGATTTGATCCATGTCGTCACACCATTCCTTCCCTTGCTCTCTGTATGTCTGATTCTCCGAGTCCAAATGAGTTGTGCCAATATCTGAATATTCATGTTTGTTTCTTGTTTATTCCACTTTCAGATGTAATAGACCTTAGATCCTGCCTTCTGTAAAAGCTGGGGGTTGATGTAATCCTTTTTTTCGTAAAAAAAGATCTTTAGCAAGTTAACCTTGATTGACATTTGTTCTTTTATTATTGCAGCTTCAACCCGTTGAATTCATTCATTTGGTTTGAGCTCTTTGGAGAACCAACAGATCGAGATGTTGACCTGCTTGGCGGTGTAAAGTGGCATTGTACACTTCCATTGGATTCTCCTTATTCAGAAAACAACATACTGTCTTGACATGAAGTGATTTTCACAGGTAATTCAGGCTTGGTACGTCATGGGAAGGCTAGGAGCTTATAATTCTTCAAATTTGCAGGTTGGGTTCATTCAAATGTTTCTTTTTATTTCCTTTGTTGGCTACTTAACTTGTCAGCTCTTTCGAAAACATGTAATGTTGTCAAATATGTCAGCTGGCCAACTCAATGATGGACTATGACCCTTCATATGATTCTGAAGAAGCTTCCTCAGTAATGCCATCATCTTTCCATGATATCAGCGATGTTGAGTTCCAAGACAATTGGGCCAGGGTTTGGTGAGCATTGGAATCATTTGACAGTTTGGGCACTTAAAAAAGGATGTGTGCAAATTCTGAAACTCCCCTCACTTTTTTTCCCCTTTCAGGGTGGACCTTGGAACCTCGGATTACCTTGGCTTGGATGTATTACTAAACTGCTTAACACAGTTGAGCTCAGAGTGAGACATCTTTCACTGATCATGTAAAATATAGTTGCAATTTTTGCTTGGAGGTGGCTTTATTACTGGTCGCCTCATTATCACCCCAAATATGGAGATCAATTGGCTCCGGAAACCTGATATACGTATGTAGCCAAACTCGATCTGTGAAGATTAACCTAGAAAGAATCAGAGAGACCTTTAACCCCTCCAGGAGGGTAGAGAGATCTTTAACCCCTCCAGGAGGGTATATACTCCTAAGTGTTAACTAAACTAGCCATTTTTACACTCTTGAGCGCTAGCTTTGTACATGACCACACAACATCACTTCAAAGCGGGCCACATGCATAATGAAATGCTGTATATTATTTTTGAGATTTGAAAACATTGCACCTTATAACTCTTGACTGAACCTGCAGGCACTTGGGTATCAAACAAGTGGTTTTTGGAGGCAAGAAAATGGGTGACTGGGAAGAGGGCATGACGAGATCAGATTATGGATACAAGCATTTCAAGATATGATATTGACAGGTGACATGATGTGGTGATGCAAGGCTGACCGAGAAATTTGAGTAAGGACTGACTGAAGACTGCCTGTATCTCGATGTGCTCTTGTATGTAAATAAATAAATAAATTGTCATGGGTTTTATTGAAACAGCAAGGCTAGGAAAATAGAAAAATACGGATGTATGTTTTGTTTCAGACACGTCATTTCTTTATGATGATTCAAGACCAAGCATTACCTGTATTCTTCTTGCAATGTCAGGAAAACCTGATGAGTCAATCAGGTGATTTTTACATACTGATCTGGAACTTTTATAAAGGGAAGTAAAGTGAACAAGGTGTCACAGTTGATCACATGCTTTTGCTACATCATTCTTGAACTTGGGAAAAGTTGCGGACAAACTAGTAGTGTCTTGGCGCGTCGTTTATACAGCCATGGTGGAAAGCAGGCTGCACGAGATGAAGCTGGTAGCCAGACCGGCTGATACTCCAAGTCTCATCAAAACGGATCCATTGGTACCTGCATTTTCCCAACCCTTTTCATAGTATTCCACAAGCTGATATTAACATGAAGTTACAAGTACATCGCTCATCCATCCACGCATATTTGCCGCCGTTACATAGATCAGCTCTCGTGGAACCCTAAATGTTGCAACCGCTCTACAAATAAAGCACATACAAGTTCAGCCTATACACCATTTCCCAAATCAATGAAACAAGATGCCGATCCTACATCCTCGCTAGCTACTAGTCCTCTCCATGCTGTTGGTCCTGGCATTCTCTCGCATCTTCTCCACCATATGTCTCCCTTTCTCTTCGATAGTCCGCCTCTTCTCCTCCAGCTTGTCTCCCATCCTCTTCCCGAAATCCATCATCCGAGCTCGCCTCCCGCCTTTTCGCTTCACGTCCTCTCCAATGGGTGATGCTGACACCTGTGGCTGCTCCCCTGCTGGTATTACTGCCCTCAGAGATGTGGACATGGGAGACATAACTCTACTTTCTGAAGCATCTTCCTGGAGTTTCTCTGTGATCAACAACGGCTTCCTCAGTTCCTCATTTCCATCGCTATGGACACATTCACTAACTGGAGTAGATGAAGACTGGCTGTGTAATGATGCTTCTGCCATAGGCTCTTGTTTTGCCTCGTCAATGGATGCCACTGCTCTCAATGATTCCTCGCTCCCACTTGATGAGTTGGGTAAACTTGTCATCGGCCTTTTGCTACTAGCATCATCATTTGCGCCACCTTCCTCAGGGTGAGCTGGTGGTGTAACTGTACCATGGCTTCTCATCTCAGTGGGTTCGTGATTTAGCCAAATAAAAGGAGCATCCTTGCGAGGTAACCAGTCATCCTTTTCTGCCAACATCCATGGTATGGAGATGCTTTCACAATTTGGAAGCACTAAGCTATCTCGAAGCGAGGCCTGAACAGTGAACCATGTTTTACAATCAAAACAACTTTACCAGAGCAAGAATATGCTCAGAGCAAAAGGTGCATTCAATACCTTGAATCTGTTACCAATGAGTGCAGCGATATGACTGTTGGTGATTTTCCTATCCCCAACAGAAGATTCCAAATCCCATTCTAGATCAGGCATTGACGTAAATCCATACCAAATTTGATCAGAAGGAGGGGGCTTCATATGCACCCGCAAGACACCTCGAACAGATGAAATCCTTATTGCCAGAGAAAGAGGAACCTGCAGCGGAAGGAAATGCATCATACATGTAAAAGTATTTCTAGTAACACTAATAATAGCTAAGGTTTCGAAATTAAATGTCCTATTTATGGGGGGACTCCTATGGCGCACTGGTA